AAATGACACAGTCCCTTCCATGTATCACAATACTAGTAACCTATTCAACATAGTTTATAAATGAGAAGTATCAATAAAGGTCTAACAATAATGTCTTTTCCAAGACTATTTCTATTACCATTTATTAAAGCAATACGTACATGTACATTAATTAATAGGAAATATCAGAAACACATTTAATTAGCGCAAAATGTCAAATATATATAAGCACTGTTAAGCAATCCACATTAAAAAATAATCATCATTGACTACATTTAAGACCCATTCTTTCAACATGTTACATAAATGTCTTGAATAGTAGTCCTTCATTAATGGATTTCAATCATAAGTTGTGTGCTTATAATTTCAATAGACATTCGTTATTTCTAAACATCTTCTTTAATGATAAAGTATTTCAACTTTTGAATACCTATCATTTTTCATACAAGAAGATCAATAATTGCAGCATAAATTTTCAGCAATCTGGAAATGATACCCATAACTCCAAGTTCTAAAATAAATTCTGCAAACATAAATTGTAGCCTCAAAGCATGCTACAAATTAAAAATTCATAATAGACAAAGAAATAATAAATTACTTTGCACTTTTTCATAATATTATTCCTCCAGCCAAATCTTCTAGAACTCTTTTAATATATGCTTTATGAAATAATTCTAAAAAATTCACATGATCTATTATGAAATATTTCTATTCCTATCACGTAGGATGCCTAACCCATATATTTCATTTCAAAGTTATTAAAGATAACTTTTAGTTTCTTATTATAAACTAAGATCACTACTAGCAAACAAAATATCATCAATATATAAAATCAGAAATATAAACTTACTCCCACTAACCTTCTGGTATATACACTGATCAAAAGTGTTCTCCTTAAAACCAAAAGAAATAATGGTATCATTAAACTTAATATACCATTGTTAGGAAGCTTGTTTAAATCCATATATTAGCATCTTAAGTTTACAGACCATGAGTTCTTTACCCTCTAATGTGAAGCATTTAAGTTGTTCCATATGGACTTTCTCTTCTAAACTCCCATTCGTAAGAGTTGTATTCACATCTATTTGATGTAACTCTAAATCATAATAAATTACTAATGCCATGATATTTTAAGAGAATCCTTCTTAAGTACTGTAGAGAAGGTTTCTTTATAATCTCTTCATTCATGGCACTAATCCATTTAGTAAAATCATTACTATTAATGACTTGTGAATATGTAACCGGATCTGTATATATCTCACTATGTATCAAAATCAGATTCTTGCAGATATATCACATACTTATCTGGAATAGCAGATCTCTTGTCTCATTGAGATCGTCTTTATATTATTCCTTATGATTCCTCTATAATCTATTCATTGGTGACAATTTTATCATGGAGTTGTTGATCATTCAATTGCTCTTTGTTGTTATACGGTTTAACAACTGGAGAAACAATTATTTCCTTATAAGTTATGGGTAAAGAAATTTGTGCGCTAACTTCTGGGATGATCAAATTCTTATTTTTATCACTCCCACTAATTTCACCATTCTTAATAAATAAATCATTACCGGTTTCAATAATTATCGTACTATATTTAGGATAGTAAAACTTGTACCCTTTAGATTACTTAATATCCATAACGTTATGGGTAATGAGAAATTACTTAACGTACTCCTAACTATATCCATAAGAGTACGATTATGCCTTTCAGCTACACACTTTTGCTGTGGTATGTATAACAAAGTTTATTGAGTACAAATGACATACATTTCAAGGAGTTCAACAAACGGTTAGAGTAATAACCCGTTTTATCATACATTCTATAATATTCACCGCTTCTATATGACCTTATGATTTTTACTTTTATATTTAGTTGTTTTTCAACCTCATTTAGGTATACTTCAAGAGTACCTACTGCTTGAGATTTTTCATACAATAAATAAATATATCCATAACATGAAAAATCAACTATAAAGACGATAAAATACTTTTCTCCTCCAAAAGATGGAACATCAGAAGGTCGATAAATGTCTGTATGAATAATTTCAAGAAGTTTTGTATTTCTTGTGGCTCATTTCTTTGTGTGTTTGGTTTGTTTACTTTTAATACAATCTATACACACACCAAAATCAATAAATTTTAGATACAGAAGAATCACATCCTTTACTAATTTTTCTAACATTTCACTGAATATTATCCAGTCTTTTATATCACAAGATAAATAAATTTTCATTAGTTAAGCTACGCTTAATTCTAACATTATGATGTAAGGTCAAAAGGGTTTTAATAAATAAACTATCAAGGTTGAATTTATATAAATCATCAACAATAATACCATAACTCATAAATTAGAATTTCTTGAATAAACATCATTATCAAATTTAAATGAAAAATAATTAATATAAAGTTTTGAAATAAAATCAGATTATGGAAAATTGAATAAACATAAAAAGTTTAAAATAATTTAAATAAAGTCCACTGTCTAACATTAAACATAATGTCACAATGGTTTCAACAAACTTTTTCCCAATTATCATAAATAAAAAAATTCTTATTTGAATTTATGATTTAGGCCATAAGAAATTCTTGCATCTATTAGAAATATAAACATTAGTACTTAAGTCAACCTATCATGTATTAGAAAGAATTTCAATAAGTAATTCAAAATATACAAAAACTAAAAGCTTACCATTCTTTTTCGAATCATTCTTTTTATTTTATGTAATATTTTTAAAAGTATTCAATACATTAATGACACTTTTACAATATTACATTCCTTTTTTTTTAGTAGATTGACCTAAATTTTTTAATTTTAATTTTGGGCGTTACTCACTTAATGCCTTTTTTAGGCTTATTCCCAAAATTTATTTATAACTTTTTGATCGAGTCATCAGATGAACATAATGATTACCTTACTACTTAAGTCTTGTCTCCTCCTAAATTAACATAATGGTCAATTAAATCACTTTTCACTTGTCTTAATAATGTTAAATCTTTAAGTGACCCATACTGAATAGACAAGAAATTGAGAATCAATTGAATAAGAAAATTCTCATTCACAATCATCCATAAGGTTCTCAATTTTGCAGCAACATTAGTCATCTAAAAAAAAAACATACCCATACAAGTAAGAGTACCAACAAAATTGCATAGTAGTGATATAAATTAATAATTTTCGTTTTAAATATTTATCTACAATACTAAAACATTCTTCTAGTCAAAATATTCCTTAGTACTATCACTATAGGAAACAATTATTTACACAACTATAATGCTTAATCTGTTCGATCTCTCCCAAACTTTATGGAGAATATTTTCTCCCTCACTATCTTTATCAGTAATAACAGTAGGTTTCTCAATTTAAAATGCTAAATTAAGATTTAACACATCTAAATTTTGAACTCAACTTACTCATTCCATTATGAGAAATTAGTCATATTGAGAATCAGAACAGATATAGCATGCGCATTAAGAGATATAATAAAATAAATATAATAAGATAAAATGCTCATAACAATAATACTTTGAGTTAACAACATGTTTATATAACTGAAAAATATAAATACAGTGTATAACTATAGTACCCCTTTGGGTGGTAACTATAAAATACTAATAATGATGCTTATTTGTATTTATATGTATACATTCATTGGTGATGTATTATTTAATTAAACAAATAAGTTACCTTTGGATATCCTATATCTACCTAATTAAAAAATACATACAACCCCTTAATTTTTATTTAATCACTCGAAACTCAATTCCCTTTGGAGAATTATTTCTCATGATTAAATAAACTCAATATTCATGAATATCACAAAAAATTATAAGCATCATAATTCATGAAATATTGCAATTATGTTTACTACTAAAATTAATATTCATCAACCATTATAGTTAGGTCACTTTAGTAGCTACCAACCTTTATATAATATGAATATTAAATTAGATAGTAACTAATTTATGATTAATTATGTCTACTACAAAAATTAATGTTCATTAATCATTATGATTGAGCCACTTTGGTAGCTACCAATTTTTACATAATATGAATATTAAATTAGACAGAGATTAATTCATCATTAGGTTATATTTACTACTAAAATTAATATTCATCAACCATTATGGTTAGGCCACTTTGGTAGCTACTAACTCTCATATAATATGAATATTAAATTAGTTAGGAACTAATTAATCATTAATTTACCCATCTAACATTATACACACATACTTATAATTATCGATTGAAGTTTAAGCAACTTCGATCTCAAAAACTTAATAGTCCGAAATTTTATAGAAAATATATATATTTTTATTTTATATACATAATAAAACAGATTATTTTATTTTCGGACTCGAAGATTATAATTGAATCAATCTAAAAATGGTTCACTATCATGTATGTATGTATGGGTACAAAATAATAATTATTTGCATGTTCAATAACATTAAATTAAATTTTTAGACTCACACATTATTCTAAAAAATTAAATTTTCATTAAAATAAATAAATACACATACTTTATTTATTTAATAATTTATTATATATACACTGAGTTTTGTAACAGCACTTTCCGATCCTCTATATGAGAACTGACTTGTCACAAAAATTCACCTTTCAATTCTATACAGAGATCATGCAGGGAAATATCCATAAATAATAATTATACATAATCAGTCATGCTTAAATAATCACTTAACAAAGTATTCAATTCAGGCTCGAAAAACAATCTATGCAACCTGATTGAATTAAAATACTATTTAAGATACAATTCTTTGAATCATTCAATCAAATAAATATAAATAACTTTAGTTTCCAATTGTCCAATATTATGATCATTTCTGCCACAAGAAAGATAAATTTTTTATTAATTGAATATCTATTTACTTAGCCACCAAGTAATATGTCACATGTCCAAAATATGTGGGCCACAATTAAATAAATAATCTTACATATGTCACTTACCATCATCACCAAGGCCGCAACCACCACCTTCAGTCCAAGTGTCGGTAAGCAATGGAGCAGAGTACCACTCAAAAAAAATATGGAGCAGAGCTTGAGGAGGAAGGAATGAAGCTTAAGAAGAACTGTGTTGATTTGCTAAGGTCATGGTACTTATCATCATCTCAAAAGTCATCGACTTCAAACAAAGTCTATTGTGTGCCGGTGCGCAATGCAACAGAGCTTTACAATGCTGGAATGAAGTTTGAGAAGGGCTCAAGTTATCGCTTGCTTGATCTAAAGGATGCCACGATGAAAGTATTGGAAATCCCACAGTTGATCTTATCTAATTGGACAGAACCTTTACTTAGAAACCTCACGGCGCTGGAGCAATTTTGCTATCCAAATGATAGTTACATAATTGATTATATTTATTTCATGAATTACTTAATTGACACTGCTGAAGATGCAGATTTACTTATCCAAGGTGGAATTTTTGTGAACTATCTAGGTGATAGTATTGCGGTGGCACCTCTCTTTAATAATCTCAGCAAGGAAGTAGTTTTGTATCGTCAGTGATATTATTTTTATGATATAAGTGAAGAACTGAATGCGTATTGCATGGTTCGGTCGCACAAGTGGAAGGCAGATTTTAAAACGCGAGTATTTCAATTCTCCATGGAGGGGGGCTTCTACCACCGCTGCAATGATCCTGCTTGGACTTACTCTGATACAAGCTACATGTGCCATAGTCTCCCTGCTTTAGGTTCAAGACTTGCCTAGTTCCGATGTGCATTGTACTTCATTTATTTATTTATTTTTTGGGTAATTACGTTGTACTATTTTCCCAATAATGTGAAGATTGATGATGATGATGCTTTTCATTGGTGGCATTATTTAAATTTTACTATTGTCTTGTCTAAAAAGAAATAAATAACAAACAATGCTATATTTTACTTATTTTCGGCAATGATGTTCCATTTGGGCGGAAAACTCGGAGCAGCCAACTATACACGGGCTAATATTTCTGTTGATCCAGTAACATTTATGTTATTTCACATCATTTGTGCACACTATATGCTACATGATTGTCAAATAAATTATTTGCAGCAAAGCGAAGGTGACTAAAATTTGTAACAAAGTTTTCCCAATTTGCTCACAAGTGGTAACATTATTTTAGCCACACCTTTTTCGACAACAGAATGCTTGTCGCAAATAGTCATGATCTCCAAGATTCATGCATTGGCCATAAAAAAAAGGATGGATGATATAAACCAATTTATTCATGACAGTGAAATCACTGAGTTAAGTTTTAGTGGTTTTCTGTATACATGGTCTAATAAAAGTTAGGGGTTGCCAATTTGACCAGAAAACCAATGTATTCATGACAGTGAATGACTCTTGGCTCTCTGCTCTTCCTATGGCCAGTTGTGAATTCCTTGCTCCTGAAATTTCTGACCATTCCCATATGGTCATCAGGTATTGTGTTACAAGCCCTAAAAAGAAAGTTCCATTTAGATTTTTCAATTTCCTTGGTGATCACAAGGATTTTTTGTCCATGGTTAAGGAAGTTTGGGAGATGGATATTCCAGTCACTTCCATGTTTCAGGTTACCAGAAAGTTGAAAGTACTCATGCAGCATTTGATCGAAGGCCCTCAATAAAAAAGAGTTCAGTGGTATTTCATCCAGATTTACTGAGGATAAGGAAGCCTTGTTTGCTTGTGCATGCAAAGAGTTGCCTATTGCTGAGGAGCAGTTCTACCGGCAGAAAGCTAGAATCAACTGGCTCAAGGAGGGTGAGAAGAATACTAGCTTCTTCATAAAGACATTCAACAACAAATGTAATTGGAAAAAAGTGGTGAGCCTTTCCCTTCCTAATGGAGATGTTATTGAATCCATGCAAGCTTTAAGGATGAGGCTTTCAACCATTTCCATGGCCTGTTAGGAAGTAATGCTTCGACATACCCAGTATGCATGCCTTCAATTCAGTATGGACTCCAGAGTTTCCTCGTTTCGGCTTAGCCATGTGCGTAGACATGACAATGAGATGACAAATATGATCGCTAAACTCTCTAGAAGTCATATTCACGAGGACATTGTTCTTTCTCATATCCTATTAGATATCCTCCATCGTGCGCAACTTGACTTACAATGATTTTTTAGACTTTTGGTTATTTGTTTTTTGCCACGGAAAATATATATATATATATACACACACTGTGTAATCTTGGAGTTAATAAGTGGGTGCCGAGAGTCATAAAATACTTCTTTTTTATTATTATTTATAATTGATGTTGTATTAAAGATAGAAAAATTAAATGTAGGTACACAAAGCGCATACCCGGAAATAAATTCTAACACGTAAGCAAAATACTTTTAAAAAAAAGTATATGTGTGGTGGGATCAGTTTTTGATAGCGACTAATGTAGCAATATTTGACATGAACTACTTTAAAAGTTGAGAGAGTTTATCTTATATCCTTGTTATACATTAAAAGTTTAATTGAGAGCTCACGTAAAAGTTTGTTAATTGGTTTGGTTAATAGTTTATTTCAATTTTCTCTCTCACTTCAGGCGTAGAAGTATTAGAGTTAGGACAGGAGGGCATACTGTAACAACCCTAGTTGATGCCAAAATTTTTAAAAAAATTCGACATGACGTTCGCTAAAATTCGTCCTACAATAATCTGTTTAAATGTATTTTTAACCTATCCCAACACAAATACAATTAACATACTCCAACATTCCATCCATCCGTTCATTATACCTCAACATGGCTCATTTCATGATGGAACATCTACATACCATTTAATCCCATTTATCATAATTACAGTCCCAAAATATAGGTACAATAACAAGAGTTTCACAAATCTCTAAACCAAATATAATAAACTAAGATTTTACAAAAATATGAAACTTAATACAAAAATAGCAAAAAGAAGTCTTTTAATCCAAATTAGGTCTGTGGTGGAAAGTCATCTGCCACTTCTTTCCCGTTTCCTGAAAAAAATTATTAAATAGTAGGGTGAGAATAAAGCTCAGTAGGTAGCACTTAAGATACGCATCTTGTATCCTTGTGAATCCAGACAAAGAATAGATCAATAGGAATGGGGATCATACAAGGTCGGGATAATACAACATTCCAACCAACTCAAGTACAAATAATGCAATGCCATGGAATGCAAAATGCATGCCGATGTCGCTCCCTATTTTCATTTCCAAAACCATCACTTTCAAACTGTTAATGTAACCCCCTTTGGTAACCCCTCAGTGCCGAGAGAATGATTGGCTACTGTCCCTAGACCATTGGTAATCCCACAGCGTCATCGAGGGGCCCAGACAGCTCAACCACGCTAGGGCGACTCCCTAGTTCCCTCTAGGTTACATTAACCTACTGGCCCTTTGGTACCCCCGTGGCGACCGAGTTTTTCATAAAACCATTTCATCAAATCACTTTCCCAAAATTTTCCCTTTTTGTTCCAAAACAATTTCTCGCATTTCATGCCCAATGTAAGTGCATGAGTGCATCAGTACCATGAATAAACTCATCATTCCACAACCAACTCAATTTAAGTAAGTAAAGCATAATTTCATAAGAATTTCTCAAGGAATTTCAACATGCTCTTATACAACAATACATCTAGCCTAACGAACATATATAAATCATCACATAGGCAAGTTTTCCACATAAAACATTTAATACAAGCTCTCACATAACCACATACACATGTTCTAACTAGTTCTAAACTACAACTAGCACAAATAAGCATGTCCTGTAACAATTTAAAATATGTAATTCACATAGGAGCAAGAAAATTGTGGATTAAGAGCCCCTACCTCTAAATTGAACAAAACCCTTGAAAGTGGGTCTCTAGACTCCCTAGGAAGCACCAAATCTAAAATTGCTTACACTAGCGCGTAGAGCTCGTCGTGGGCTTTGTTTTGCCTCAAATGACACTTAAAAACACTAAGAGATGAGGGAGAAATTAAGTTCTAAAATTTGATTGAAAAAGAAAAGAAAAAAAAAAAAACAAAAAGGGCGTGAGAGAGAGAGCAGTGGGAGAAGAGAGATACAGACCATGAATAGTGGTCTCATGTGATACCCATGGGATCCGAGACACGGGTTGATCAGGCACAGGCCCAAACCCGAGGGATATCAAACAATTAATATATAACCGAACACATAATACAAGATGAAATAAATAACAACTATAAGCTGGAAGAATACTAATTAAAATCCTCAAAATATAATTAATGAAATCTGTTAAATCCAAACTCCAAAACTTCATAAGTTACAACTCGGGAATCCATCTAGTGGACCCTTATTATTAAAAATCCTAATTGAAACTAAAATATCTGAAATAGAAACTTAAGGTAAACATAGAAAAGATTCCTACGTAGTCGGAGGAATGAATGTCTGTATCTGCTCTGTACGTTCAAGCTCTAACCTTAGAACTGACAAATACTTGAAAAATAAGAGAGTGGGTCAGGCCCACATGTAAGTCCTATTCTACTACGATCCAAACAGTAATCCGATACGCAGATACATCCTAGGAAGACTCAACAATATCTAGAGTAGTCCATATGTATATATATAGTACACACTATAGGACGCTCACTAATCCAGTAGGTCTGTCTCAGCCTGAGTAGAGATACCATGCAAATCGCACAGTAATGTGGTCATGTGTACCTAGACCTACCAAGGAACAACACTTATGTCCAGTTATCCATCCTAGGCGATATACGCGCCCTAACCATGGTCCTGAGATTCAAGCTTATACCATGGTACCATATAATAAATATATAAAGTCCGTACTCCTCCTAATACAAAATACCATCAATCTGTGTAGTGGTCTAGTATATGTATAATCATCCGTCCTGAAACCATATTAAGTCATCCAACTATTTTGTTGACATGACACAAGTAGGTAATGGACTTAACCTATATGGTTAATCCATACCTTAATCCAAATTAAATAGGACTTAGGGTTTGATCCAGTCCATACCTAGTATGTCACTGTCCCATACCGGTACATACAATCCTCATGTTTACACGGTTGACCAAATAGTGATAAGTGCAAATCAACTATACTCCAGAATAAGCACACATACAAATCTAATAAGTGTATGATCAAATTATACATCCAATACATGATCTAGAAGTCACATTCTAGTCCTTTAAAATATTAGAGTAAAATACAGCATCTACCTCCTCTAAAACAGTATCATAACTTGATGCAATAAATAGTATAGTTAAACATCAATTAATTTCCATTTAAGCATACCTATTCTTTTTCCAGAACATATAATATATGCTTATACAACAGTTGAAACACGAACAACAGTTTAAAATTATGCTAGAAACTAAAGTGCTTTATAGAAACAATAAGTAATGTCAATGTATAATTCAACCTCCCACATACAGTGTATTATTGTAAGTTATCCCATGCTTCAATATTAATACTAACATGCTTCCCAATTCTTTTAATATCTCTGGAACAGTTTTATAAACCATCCACAGCCCCTATAACAACTCAGAAACCCTCCTACAGGCCAACCGGAAGTCAGAAACGTGAAAAA